CTACTTCTACTACGTTATACCTATCCGACGAGTGCCTACGAGAATACAATTAAACAACCACAAGTATTCTCTTCAACTACTAACACGACCTTTTGCCCACTAGACGGCCAAATTTACGCCCGTAACGCTCTACCACAAGGTCGTTTCGGAGGCGCTGCAAAGGCTGCAAAGACGGTTTTGGGTGGTTTGGGAGATAAAGTTCTTGATCTTGGAAAGACGACGCCGATTAAGGGTGCGATCAAGGGCGCGCAGGATATTAAGGTGCCGAACCCGGGTGCTTTGGATTTCTCTCCATAAATGCGTCGTTCCGTGCGAAGGCTGGTGGGAGGGAGGTATTAGGCAAGCAGGATATGGATGGATAGGCGGATGCCTTTTGGAGAGCTGGTCTCGAAGAAGGATGTTTTCTGTTTCTGGGATGTGATGGGATGTTGATAGAATGGACTGTAAAAGTGTAGACTGAAGAATGAGATTTGTTTGATGAGTATTTTCACTGCATATCTTCGTTGCTGATCATGGTCGCGGTTTTTACGGAACCGATTCATGGTAGGTAGCATGACTTTGTCTGTCTGCACATCCAATCCATCGACTGGAGGCTGACCAAAAAACTGGATTACAAGCTTCGTCCAGCTGCTGCTTGTTGAACAAGAAGACTAAACGATCCATGCTCGCTCTGGAGTGGGAAAAAGACTCCAATGGTACGTCGCTATGGGCCTGCGCAGACCTCCTGAAAGCTCATCGGAGCTCATGCCGCTCCGACGTGATCTCGGTTGACTCAGTTGCGACATTGAGCACCTTCGAGAGCATACTGATTGCCCCGTGCAGCAAAGAATATGAAGAGCCTGGGCCGTCTTTGAACCATGGTCGAATTGTTCATCTCTGCTATGCAGCCTCGACTGGAGTGAGAAAGTTCCGGCTACGCCTCGCATATTCGTAGGCGAAAAAGAACATGCCTCAAAGCACAAGTTCGGATACCATTGAGGGCCATGCAATTGCTCGGGAACGATTGTGCTCGTGTGGTGTCATGAGATCCCTCTGCCCTATATGTTGCTTCTCGACGGTGAGTACAACCAGTAGTGTTGTGAGATTAGTCCAGACAATGTGGTGCAAGTAACCTGGACAACAGGAATATGTCGACTTCGCGCATGACCATCGCCACATCGATTCACCTACCTGTCGCTGGAATCGGCCTGATCGATCTCATTGCTGACAAGCAAGAGACGCCCCGATGCTACACCAACAAATCCTCGCTGATGCAAGAAACTGGTTGTAAGCCCTCAGCTGCTCCAAATAGATGAATGGAGTGGCAGTTTTGTGTGCCAGGTTCTGCACCACAGAAGCTGACGAGCAAGTGGGGAAAGCATGATCGTTTCAGCTGCTGTACCTGTCAATTGTCAACCACGGTTCTGTTCTGCAGCAATGCCTCCAAACATTCTCGGTTATCGGAAATTGAGAAGGACGCTGCAAGGCACAAAGCCCATGAGCAGCTGTCGCCAAACGTTGTACAGCGTTTTCTACAACATTTTCCAATGCTGACTGCATTGACAGACAACACAGTCTGCCTTTACTTGAGAACACGACATGAAGTTCACCGCATATGTCCAGCTACCCGAATTTCGGGCAAGTCTGGCCGATCGCACAGCCTTATAGGACTCAGCAACATGCATGTCTCGGGCAAGCCAGCGCAACGGCGGTGTTGGCGAGTCTGCTGCGTTGGCTCGATGGTATGCCACGATGCAAGACACTTTCACTCATCACTGTCTTGAGGTCGGCGCTATTGCTCATTATGGCGGCTTGTGCGGCCGCAAGCTGACAAACAGAGAAGATGTTGAGAAGGGGTAGTGCAAAATGCATCCTGGCGATGTTGTGTGAACATGTCTCAGATGGAACAGCGGTAGAGACACCGGCCGCCTGGGCGCGGCCAGCATCGAGAAGTTCGGCGTCGCGTGATGAGCGTTTACTTGAAGCGGTATGTTTCGCAAGTGTGATGGTTTTCGTGGCGGTGATCTAGGCATCGACACGTGGCTGTCGGTTGTCTATCCTCCAGCAGAGATGGCACCATTTGGAAGGTTTTCGATCGGCGGAGTTCATCAACATTGGCACTGGGCTTTGTGGAACATTGGGTTTTGGCTCGCTCTTTTGTTCTGATCGTGCTGCTGGCGTGAGGAGAGGAGATGTTCTGCTCGGCCGAGGTGGGTGGTTTGTTCCGCTTCACGACCTCGATGGCATCTGCTGTGTTCGCAAGAATGAGGGGAAACGCCTCTCTCCGCATCTCGTGTTGGGGTGAAGAGTGATTTGTGAGAGGAAAGGCAGGCCTCGGTGCGACGTGCCCAGTGCCGCCTCGATCGGCCGCAGCACGTGGCTTGCCAAGGAAGTCGCAAGCGAACGGCCCTGTAAGGCAAGCGCGGACAAGGTTCGGGACCACCTGTTGGCACTGGCACCACCGTTTCACCTCCTGCAAACCATCTGCACCTCGTCTGCAGGTCCGCACGACACTCGCCTGCTCTCGCCAACGAACGCCAGTCCCGCTTCACTTTTTGCGGTGAGAAGCTCTCCAGTCGGACCGTCGTCGCGCGCGCCAATAGGCACTCCCGCCCAGCTGGCACTGGAGGCGCCTCCGCTGTCGGGAGTGATGAGTTGCGTAAGGTTCTCTCGTTTCAAACAGAAACTAGCAGCGACGGCTCCTTCTAGGCGAGTACGCTGGAACCCGATTGACGACGAACACGCATCCAGCCGCTGGGGAGCCGCCGCGGTCTAGAAACATGCGCTGTCCACAAGTGAAATTTCTGGCGCTGGGAATCATTGCGACGACACTGACGCTGCGTGCTCCAGTTGCCGCCTGTCCGCGCGCTGCCCGATGTCGAGCCAGATGGTATGCGCCCACCTGCCGCGCGCTGACTGGAAGAATTTCGCATGAAATGACGAAGGAGAAGCGCCCAAATTTTGATTGATTGCGTTGACAGGTGCATTCATGTTCTTCCGGCGGCCTCGACCCGACTCTACGACCTCATAGTGCTCCGCCTTTTGCGGTCGTTGAGTTCCGCCATGGCTTGGGGGCCAGTCAGCCGGGCTGATCAGCCTGATCAACCGCATGTGCGCTCCCACGGCTTTCTCCAGCCCTGCAGCCGAACGAGTGACAGCTTCTTCGAGCAACACTACCCGGTCCTCTTACTCCATGAGGCAGGCGGCGTACGGCAAGTGCTTCTCTGCCGTCGCGGCTGGACTCACTCTCCTGCACCTCACGCGTCGCTCGGTCTTGCCCTTCGATTTCACGAGCCCTATGCGGCGACGGCCACTTGCGCCTGCCCATCACAACGCTGCGATTTGTGATTGCTGCGATTTTGCGCTCCACTTGGTCGAGCAGGCCGCGCAAGCCAAGTACCTCCCCATTCACCACCCATTACTCAAATTTCCCTATGTGATCAATTCCGAAGCATTGGCATTGTTCGCAGATCCAGACCTGTGCGTCACCTATGCCCGACCCGAACAGCCTAGGATCCATTGATCGATTGTTTGGCGTTTGGCGCTTAGCCTGTCCCTGGCTGTGAGTGAGTGGGACCTCCTCCTCCTCACTCATGCACATGCACATGCATATGCAAACGCCGAATTATAAGATGTTGAGCCTCGCTCCCCATCTAAACGGCTTCCATTCACATGTCCCTCATTTTTCTCCTGCACTGACCTCTTGAAGTCCCTCCCTATACCACACAACAGTCTGCCGGCCAGCTACCCTCATCCATCCAAGATGCAATTCCTCGCTGTTGCCGCGGTGTTGACCACCGCTGTGTCTGCTCTGCCAGCACTCGTCGAGCGCCAACAGACATACGGAGCTCCGACTTACGAAGCCGAGACCTACGGAGGCCTCAACTACTCCGCTCGCGCCGTCCTCCACCACAACCTCCACCGTTCAAACCACTCTGCCACCAATGTCACCTGGGACGATGACCTCGCCTCCAGCGCCAAGAAGGTTGCCGATCTGTGCATCTTCGAGCATAAGATGTGAGTTTTCCATTTCAATCCCACTTTCACCCAAGATATGCCACTAACACCTCATAGGGACGTCGATGGCGGCAACTACGGCCAGAACTTGGCTGCCGGTGTCCCAGCCGACAACATCACGTCCGTCATCACCGACCTCTGGTACGGCGGCGAAGTCTCCCTCTACCCAGCCTGGGGCCGCAACCCATCCCAATCTGAGATGTCCAACTTCGTCCAATGGGGCCACTTCACGCAACTCGTCTGGAAGAACACGACCATCATCGGCTGCGCAACGACCGACTGCTCCAGCCAGGGTGGTGTTGCCAGCACTGGCGGTAACGTCGAACCTTACTTGACCGTTTGTCATTACAAGGGTCCTGGTAAGTTCAAACCCCGCTCTTTCCAGAATGTTTTGTGAACAGCCGACTGATTGATGTTTTCTCCATATAGGCAATTACGCCGGCCAGTACGGCGAGCAAGTCGGTGAATCTCTGGGAAATGCCACGATCGCTTGGAATGATTTCCTCGACCTGGACATCGACATCAACCTCTCCAAGTAGAGCGGAGCTGGTCCTTCCGAAAAGCCTGTTCATTCATCCTTTTTCTCTTCTCTTCTTCATACCCCATTAGAGTGCTGCTGTCGCGGTGCCCGATCTTACAGAACTTGATGTTCTGTCATTAGAAGCTTCAGAAAACAATATCTTGCGAGAACGAGATTTTATGATACCCATGAAGCAAGCATTAGAGAGCGAGAGCGAAGATAGAGCGTAGAAAGCCTGGCTCATCGAACACAAAAAGTTTTGCACTCACTTCTCACCTGTTCTTCTCTTTCCTCTTCTCTATCCAATCCTTCACCACCTCATCATAATCATACCCAAACAACCACCTCGTATCATCCCCCTCCCCCACTCTCATTTTCCCCTCTTTCATCAATTTCTCCCTCTCAGCTTCCGGTAACCGATTCACATTATTCGTATTCATCGTCCAGTCATAAATCGCATCAATCCGGTCTTGTCGAATTTTTTGCCAGAATTCTAATGCTTCTAGTAATCCCTCTTTCCCATCACCATCATTACTCGTAAATCCCTTGGATGCCTCTTCTAAGACTAGTACAAGAGAGTAAACATCTTCTAAAGCTTGATTCACGCCTTGTCCACTACTTGGCGGTAAAGCATGTGCTCCATCTCCTACGAGGATTATTCGACCTGAGCATTTTGTGCTGTACCAGGTTGACATTTTGGGCATTTTCATAAAGGGCCAGATGTAGAGTGTTTCTTTGTATTGTTCTATTGCATCTATAATGCTTCGCGCGAGCGGACCGTGTTCGGAGTATGATTTTTTGTAGAATTGGAGGAGGCGGGATTTATCGTTTTGGAGGCTTTCGAGGTCGGTGCGAGAGTATTCCTGGGAGTGTTGGGTTTGGAGGCCGATCATGATTTGGGGGGAGGGGTGGGTGGAGGGAGGGTCTTCGGCGATCCAGAAAATTGAGGCGGGTTTGCCTTGGAGGGTTGCGTTGCCGGGGAAGTCTGGAGAGGGCCAGGAGACGGAGGACCAGGGGATGTGGGCGAGGATGCCGAGGAGGCCGGTGTAGGTTGGTTGCGTTGTGGGGGACAGGTGGGTGCGGAGGGTGCTGTAGATTCCGTCGGAGCCGATGAGGAGGGAGGTTTGGTGGGGGGTATTGTTGATGAGGAATGTGACGCCTGTAGAGGGGTCTTCGGAGACTATGCCGTTGAATTTGGAGTTGTAGTGGATGGGGACGTTGCGTTCTTTGAGCATCAGACGCATTTCGTCGAGCAAGAGGCCGCGCCATATACGGTGGTTCCAGTAGCCATTGACCTCCGGGCCTCCAAGAGGGACCTTCTTTGTTATTTCACCTGCCTCGTTGAGGAATATGCGGTCTGTTGTTACGTAGCACCTATCTTTTATGCGTTCGTAGACTCCGAGGCGGTCGAGGATGCGGAGGCCGTTGGGTGTGAGGATTACGCCCGAGGGGATCACGCCAGATACTTCTGGTCGGCTTTCGTAGATGGTGACGGGGATGTCTCTGGCGGAGAGTGCGAGGCCGAGTGCGCAGCCCTAGGTCGGTGGTAAGCAGCTGAAGTGAGTGTAGCTGGAAGGGCTGGAGACGTACTCCGAGGCCTGCGCCGATGATGGTCACGCTGTCGAGATATCCTGCCATGTCAATGTGATGTGGGAGAAGAGGTCAAGATGGGCTGCTCATCGCAGCCGCGTCGCTGGATCTTGTTGAAGAATGAAATGCTGCTCGGTTCTCTACCTCTGTAAGCAATGTGATGTTCTAAGGAAGCATGTTGCCCCGCTCTGCTTGACTACCTCCTATGCCGTTGGGCCATTCGAGATCGACGTTGCCGTGTAGCGCACTTTCAACTCATGGTCGAAGCAATCAGCTGCGCATGCATGTCGAGAAGACGCAGTGATGTCTTGAGAACAGAAGAGGAAGGCACGGATTGGCCGCCGACAAGGATCGCGATCACCAGATGTTGTGGACTTGGCAATCTGGGCGATCTCCGAAAGTGCCGACGTCTGCTGTTGCCAACGCTTTTGCTTCCACTTCCACCACCTTGGTCTTCGTAAAGCCGCTGGATGAGAACACAAACTCACAGTTTGGCGAGCCTGCGGATGGAAAATATGCTTCAGTATTTGCTTTACTGGCTACCTCGAAAGTGGCGATCTTTTTGCCTGGCTATGGATTTTGAGGTTTGCGAGAAGACCTACCATGACATATGGGCTCGAGCCACCAGCTGGGTCGTATTTGCCAGTCCTGAAGTTCATACTGTCTGCAACGGCGCCACGAGATGCTGCATGCATTTGCGCAGGACTCGTTGCGAGCATAACCAGAAGTGAAGTCCGGGCGAACACAGGTTTCGAAGCTTTACTGCTTTGTATCCTGTCAAGTGAACGCTGATGCCGCGCAGCGGGTCTGCTAACCGAAGCTTGAGAAGGCTTGGATCACGAAGCAGTATGTTGGTGGACTAGTCAACGCCCCAAACGTGAGAAGTGAAGGCGCGGGAGTTGTTGGTCAAGAAACTTAACATGCAACATGTTTGCTATTCTGATCCGAGCACAGCCTTCCGCTCGTAAACTTTGCGCCTGCCATCTTTTTTCATCACCAGAACTGTCTCCGCAATATCAGACAAACTCGGTCCCTCACCAATTGCCATGGACGTGTACGAATGGAGCGAGTCAGGTCCAATCCTCGAGACGTTGCACAGGCATCCTGACGGCAAGATTGGCTTCGTCATCTATCGCACTCACTACGACGATGATCAGAAATGGGCGCAGTTCGTCAAGCGCTTGACTGACTCTGCTTCGTATACTCTCTCTCACGACGACATCTGTTTCAGTGGCGACATGCGCGGAGAGGAGCTCAAGAAGGTATTCGCTTACGACATACGAGACGATAAGGCAACGCTCGAGGACGCCTCCGTCGCTGACATTCGCCGGTGAGTCGGAAGCCTTCTATAGTGTACAGCCTTACTAATGCAGCCGTAGAATATTCTGCGAATGGAAGAATTCAGTACCAGACTGTCCTATTATGCCCAAGTACGACATGTGCGTTCTAGCCGACAAGGAAGTCATCGACTCTGTAATGGAAGACGCAAGGCCATGGAAGAACGACAGACCACGTGGACACGTCAAGCTCGTCAGAGCCGATCACAAGAAGGAATGGCATGAAGCTAAGGAAGGATATCCCGCCATCGATGGGTCTACCGCGCATGATGTTGGCTGGATGAAGCAGGCGGTCGCCTATCTCTTTCCTCGCCTCTACTCAGTTCTGTTGAGGAGTAGCTGGGGTTCCGAGTACCGTAGGCCACCTCGTATCCGGGAAGACTAGATGCCTGCGCGCTGTGCATGGCATCGAGTCAAATTGAGGAGTTGGGCGGGACTTACTGCTTGTATTTCCGGAGCAGCTGTACGCACTGTCTTGCAAAAGTCTCGACATCGAAACAAGAACAAACGAAAATTCATTTTGCATTTCACAGCTATGCTAGGACCAACAGAAAGGCACCAAGTATAAGTCGGAACAATAAATACAGTCTTGTTTCTGCCAGCTGCGTTCACTGGCGTCCTTCGCCCTTCGAAACAAGCTCTCGATGTATGTCCATCCCAACAGTGGTCGATAGCACGCAGCAGGTCTTTCACCGGGAAGCAGCCATTCCATCTGTCGACGTGCAGTTATTCCTACTCGAACTCCAGCTCCATGCCTTTGTCAGTGCTCTCTTCCAGAGCATGCAGAACTTCAGCAACGTCGTTCTGGTCCTTCATTGTGGCCCTCCTATCGTTTTGGGCTTCTTCGATTTCCGCGAATACATGGTCGACTCCCCATAATATCCAATGTCGGGCTTTCTTACTCCTATCGGCGAGGAACTTGCTATGACATAGTCAGCTATCCAACAGCAAATTGCAGTCCGCAAGAATATCGTGTCAACTTACGGAAGGAAGTTGTCCCAGCCCCACAGTATCTTCTTGAAGGCTGGTATGTGTTCCGCAATGAGCTCGAGCTCTCTTTCCACATCATTTACTATGGCCTCCCATTTCTTCTTAACATCGGGTTGCTGCATGTATGAGAAGACGGCGCGAGTTGCTCTCATTGCTCTGAGGAACGGATCGGGATCCTCGCCGTCGTATATCCAGGCACGCACATATGCTTTGAATTTTGTTTTGGCCTGGGGATCGACTCCCTGCCAGATCCTGGCCTTGTAAGCATTTATCTCCTCGTCTGCGAGCAACAGAGCGCTTCGAGCAGCCCATGAGCCTAATTGTTGGAAAATTCGGTCATTTGGAATTCTTTTGTTCACGTCTCCGGATCCTATGCTCTCCACTGAGGCTGGGAGGCTGACAGTATTCCAATATTTGAGGAGATCTGATGCTGATATCTGCACATCACCCATCGAACCACCTTCTTTGGTTGTTCCTCGCTCCAGCGCCTCAAGGAAGAGAGGGATGGTCTGCAACTCCAGGATATGCTCGGTGACATATTTGTTCTTGATATGCGGACGCCCTGGAGATAATTTGACACGGTAGTTGGAGAAGTCATCCTCATCTTCGTAGATTACCACTCTCTTCTCTACATCTTTGAGCTTCTCGAAATCCGATGCTGAAGGGTAGGAAGCTTCATCGACTGGCATTTCGAAGGCTGGAAACCGGGCTGCCAGCCGACGTGAACCTCTGCTGCCTCTCTCGACGATGTTTGAGTTGTCATCTTCTCTCAACACGATCAAGCTGGTTTGGTTGAGAGCCACCTCATGTCTGTTTCCTTCAGATGAGGATCGTGATACATCTCCAGAGACTACGAGGTCCTCTGAGAGCGGACCAGCAACAGCTTGATAAGGCCAACAACCAGCAGTGTACCATATGGATGTCAGCACCAGAGCGAGGAATATAGTGACGGTAACGTTGTTACGTGCATCTGACACCATATTTGAGTATTGTTAGTGTTGCTTGCTGATATGTTATAGCAGATAGAGTTGATGTTCTCGATGAATCGGAGGATTGCAACACTCGTCGTAGAGCGAAACGCCCAATTATGTTTCCAGAGATTCATGGAGTCACCTATGCATGCTAGGTATGAGCAGCTCACACGGTAGCGCCGCAATGTAAGAAGGCATGACTAGACCACACGAGTATTGTGTCAGCGAATGAGTATGAAGTAAGCTATGGCGACCTGTGGCTTCTAATCCGTATGTGCGTTGCTGATCTCAGAATTGCGCATTTCGTGTCTAGAGTAGCTTGAATGGCTGTTTCTGGATGCAGATCCCCTATTGCTGCGTCTCAATGATAACCCATGCAGTATTTTGAGAGCGAAGTTTCTGTCCCGCGAGCCATTCACTTCACCAATTCCGCGCACGGACCATTCTCCACAAGCAAGCTCGTCACTTCTCAGAGCTTCAAATTCTGTCGCACGCCTGACTCGAAACATCAACTTCCACAACATCTTCTCCGCAACAGCTCGAACAACAAAGCAAATCCCGCACGTGCATCACAAGAGCCGCTGCCGCCATGTCTCGGAGACTGCCATCGGAAGCGCAAACGCTCTACGAGACGCTCGATCTACATCCGAATGGCAAGCTCTGCTGGGTCGTGTATCGCTGCAGCTACGCAGATGATTCCGAGTGGGCTCGGTTCGTTCAGCGCCTGTATGACTGGGTGCGCTGCCGCCTGGGAAAGGAACGCGATGGCAACCTCATTATCAATCACTTCGAGTTCGATGTGAGGGACGACAAGGAGAAATTCGATGGCGCCAGTATGTCCGCTATACGTCGGTAAGCGATTCTCCACGTCTGAGCTTGAGTGTGGCACTGACTTTCCGTGACGCAGCGACTTCAACGACTGGGTGGAGAAGACCAATGGCAGCTACAAGGTGACGATGCATACCAACTGCATCTATGCCGACGCTGAGGTCATCGAGTCCGTCCTGAATGGTCCAGATCCAAACTCGGGAGCCCCTCGAATCGACGTAGATCGCACTGCCTGGGTCAAGATCCTCGAAGGACTGTGTAAAGACGAGGTCGACCAATTCGATGAGGATGAGATCTCGGACGATGAGGAGCGCGCAAAGGTGAACAGTGGAGATGAAGGATTCGAACCCATCAATGGCTGCCGCCTTCACGACTTGGGATGGATCAAAGTCGCTGCGTCCAACCTCATCTCCGGAGCCTACTATTGTCTGAACAACGGGGGCTGGTACGCCTACTACGTGCGCCCTCCATTTATAATCAGTGGGTGATACTCGCAGTGTCACATTGCAGTTTAAGAGAAAGACGATGCCTTCCGCCTCGACAGGGGAGCAATCGGCAAAAACGAGGGGGCCCCCACCGCCATCACTCATCAACACCGTCACCCATCTCCGCATCCAGCGGCTCCGCTGGCTTCTTTGGCGGTGAGATAGCGAGCTGCTTGCGTCTTTGCTTCTCACCGCGTTGACTGTTCAGCTCTGATGCTTCCTTACCCTCGGTGGCTCTGACTGACTCGCACTGCCTGAGACGCTGTCAAGGAGCGGACTTTACACCTACCCACTCTATCAATCCATCCTCTCAAACTGGCAATCGGCTTTACCTCCAGCACCGCTCCTCCCGATCGATTCCTAGAGAAGCCCTATTGACTGACGGTGCAAAAAGGGAAAAGCGACGCAAACAGTTCTTGGTTGCTGGGTTCCGATCTTTTCTTACGAGTCTTCTGACTTGGGAAAGCGACGAAGATTGAGTATGTTGTCTAAAGAGTACTATAGCTCGTGAGGTGCCAGCATCGTAGCAATACCAAGGAAACAATCTCCAATATCAAACTTCAATTTGAAGGCCCACTCTGTGGGTAGTTTGCGATGTGTCGAAGTACTCTGTCAGATTGTAATGACCAACGTGTGCCTGATCAAGATTGGAAGAGGCCTCTCGCTGGTCTCAGATCTTGTTGCCGATTCCTTTTGCCAAGATTCTCATGGTCTCTAGAGCAATCTGGACTTGCTTGACATTTCCGGGGAGATTGGACGACTGGTGCGCGTTGATGTAATCTTTCGTATCGGCGATCCTATCCAGCATCCACTGACTTGCCGTGGTACAGATGACCATGATGAGATCGCTGTTGCAACGTTAGTATCTCTGAATACAAATCAGGATCGAGGGCAATGGAGGTACAACTTACTCCATAAATTCGTCCCACGCTGCCGGGAGACCTGCGAGATTGTACACGCTTATATCATGCTTGGAGATGATCTCCAGCTCGGTGCGCACCGCTCTCTTCAATGCAAGATATCTGTTCCTCACCTCCGACTTCTCTTGCAGATACACAAAGACAGCTCGAGTGGCTCTCAAGTATTTGAGGAAAGTGTCTGGACCTTTGTGACATCTCAACCACTCTTCCACATCATTGTCATATTCACGTGCTAGTCGTGGCGCTCTCCTCTGCCAAAGCTTTGCCTTTACGCCGTTGATCTCCGGCGTAGTAAGCACGAACTGTTGCCGGTTGCGATTGGTCCCAAGGGCCTCGAATACCCGAACATTAGGAATCAGCGAGCCTTGCCTGTTCATGCGTGGAATTGGCGGCGTGGTCTTATCAAGTGTTGGCTGGTTCCAGTAGTTCATGAAGTACCTGGCATCCACCGAGTAGCGGTTTTTGAACTGCTTCCTAGATGTCATAGTTCCACGCTCCAATGCTTCCAGGAACTCCTTGATTGTCTGCAGCTCCAGGATGTGCTCAGTAACGTAACCTGTGCCAGCGGATACTTGGACCTCTCTGATGTCGGGATCCGAGCAGTCGCTGTTCGATGCGTATTCGAAAACGCTCTTTCGAACAGTCGAGCCGGCTCTGCCGTTGAAGATCACTCCCGCAGAGGGATAGCCGGACTCCTTGATGATCAAGTGTCTATTCAGGGAGAAATCGCATCTGTATTCTCTACGAGTACCTCGGTCATCCACAATATATTCGACCCAGTCAGCGCTGGACAGATTGCGGGGGTCCTGATAAGACAGTTCGAGGGCATTGGCGAGACTGTGGTGCTCTTCACGGCGTAGTTCGTCGCGACCCTCATCCCATCCATCATCAGAGCCTTCCTCGAGCGGACAATCGGCACCCGGTTCTGCACATATGCTGTATTGGCACCCAAAATCGTGGAACGGGCATGGTTTCTTCTCCTCTGTCGCAGAACAAACCATACCTAACAAGTGGCCAGGATCCAGCAGTGGGTTCTCAACTTCAGGTCTAATATTGGGACAAGGGGAATCTCCAAAATTATTCCCAACACGCCCAACAGCAAGCTGCTTCGGGGGACTGCCTTTCGACTTGGTCGGACTTCCGTTGTCGTCGTTCGCCCACGGCTCAAAATCGCCAACGTTATTCGATTTGTCGTACTTCAAGATACGTCGACCGGGACTCGTGCTTTGCGAGTAGTAGAACATATTATTGTACTCTTCGGCTTTCGAAGACACCTGGCTGATCGTAGAAAAGGCTGATCCGAGGAACATATCGTAGCCCCGGCCCTTCCACCCAAACGGGTTGAGATTGATGCGTACTCCAGCCTCGGCGTCTAAGTCAATGCTGTAGTCAACCGCCGACTGCACTTCTCGGACTGTGCCAGAAAAGGTCTCGGTAGCCGTGAGTTCAATGCCTTCGGTATCTCCGGACGTCTCTCGCAGCGCGTGAGGCCATGCATTGCGTAGACCCTGGGACTCTTTTGTGCGGCCCTTAGCATTGACAGTCAAATTACCAGTAAAGTTGAGAGATCCTTGGATGCCGGCTTCTGCTCTGAGGGCTGGGAATATCGAGATTACCCCAGGATGGTTGAAGCCCTCGTTGACCTTCTCGAGTCGAACAATTTCGCCTGCAAGTCGAGGTGTGTTGGAACCTCCAGACAAGACGGTCTCGGAACTGATTTCAACATCAATGTCAGTTTCCAAGATCACCGAGGCATGATCGATACGAGGATTTGATCCGATCTCTCCGATAATGGTTCCAGCTGCCCTGATATGAGCTTTGAGAACTCCCTTAAGATTGATGTCCGCATACTCGCTGGCGCCGTTCTCGCATGCAGCAACGTTCGAGACAAGCTTCCTGTTGAAGTCTTGTTCAAGCGCAATGCCATTCTGCTTTTCTTCTCCAATGTCCATACCCAGCCACTGATCGAATTTCTTGTTCCACGCTGCTTGGTTTGTGCCAACCCATCGTTTCGAATGGGGGATGGGGGTGACAGTCTTATCCGAGTTCTCATCGACCACCAGCTCCCAGCAACCTCCTCGAGTGTCAAAGTCTACTCGAAAGGAGACAGGCCCGCTGCCTCGCTTGACCAGGCCAAAATCGAAGCTGAAAGTGAGCTCGAAAACTGTAGTGTTAGCAATCGATGATAAGTGACCGGGTAGTGTTTGATCTCCAGAAAGCGTCACAGCATGAGCAATCGCGTACTTGGCCATGGTACATTCAGTAGGCAGTTCCACCACTGTACCCTCGACACCGCCCTCCATCATGTGGTCGCAGTCGGAACCTGAATCGGTAGGCGCAGAAGAACATACAAATCTGATGACCTGCTGATCTCTACCGACTGCATGACTGCAGCCGAGAAAGATGAGGTCGGAAGGAGTGCCATCTCTCTTGCGCTTGAGGTTTGTGACTACATCTTGAGGCCCATCGATTAGCAGCCAAGCGAATGCAACACCTTGAGGACTGTGTTTCGATGGCGAGGAGCTGGGATAGCCAATCTCCCAAGAGACAATGTCTTGTGCAGCAGGTGGGTGCTCGAATATCTCTGCCAACGGAACGGGCACAAATGCGCTTTCCGGTGGAAAAGGACAACATAGTGCTCGCTTCCGGTGATGAGGGCATGGGAGTGTGTCATCGCCTGTGTTGTCTGTCATCAACTGTATCTCGTACTCCTGACAATGGTTGTTGTCGCAATTCTGATTGCGGTCGCCTGCCCAGCGGCACCCGTGGAATTTGTTTGGCGCCGGGCAGCAGTAGTACTTCCAATGCTGGTGGCGTTGATCGAATTTCACCGCGGCTTGCTCAAAGCCGGATTCGCACTGCATTGCACCACGGGCCCAGTGACACTGGCTTGTCAGATCATTCCAGTGCGCCGATTGGCAGCAAAAGACCTTGGTACCATTGCGGCATGCACCGAGATGGAATCCAGTTTGCGGAGGGGGTCCACCACCATACTTGGAGGTGTAGAGACCGATCTCACCTTCTAAGTGTCAGTGGAGCCACGAGAATTGCTGTAAAATACAAGATGATGCATACCTCCATGGCATTGACCATTACAGTCTCCTGGGTCTCTGCCCTCTCCACCTCTCCAATGACACTCTCGTGGATATGATTGCAACGGACAGCAAATAGGATGAGCAAGCTTTTGAGCGCAACCTGCCTTGTCCCAACCAATTTGCACTTCTTCATATAGGCACTGGTTGCGCACACGTAGGTCGAGGCAATCATGATCTCTCCTGTAGCAACCATGGCCATTTTGAAGAAGCCAGTGTTGATTGTAGGCTTGGTCAAAGAGCTCAATTCCGGAAGTGGTTGAAGTATTGAGCATAGTGCTATTTGTCCAGAGAGTCGTCGAGCGAGGTCCGAGTGGCTTTGGCGTTGTCAAGGCATCGGGAGCAACGAAGCCATACTGGTATGGTTCTTTCGATGTGGATTCGACATTCTGCCGGAAAGTAATGTAGGATGTGGCTACCAAAAGCAGAACAGCTAATCCGAGGAGGACACTGTGAAGGCGTGGAGGCCGCATCGTGGTACTGTTGCGATTGATGATACGGAAGAAGGAGTTGGGGACAAAGCCCAGAGATGAAGAGTTTTATGCTCGAAAAAGGCGGCCATCATATGCTTCATGTGAGATTGTGTGCATATGGGTGTCTAATTGAGCTGTGCCTCTGTGAGTGAAGCACGTTGATTGCATATGCTGCAGAATATCCCTGCATGTGAAAGTCAAGCGCACAGGCCATGCGCGATGATCAACATTATCGTTTCCCAAGTGTCCCTTTCTGTCGCTCGCGAGGACCTGCATCAAAGTATCAGCGACACGTTCCAATTCGATTCAGGTCGATCAAAAGAAGAACCAAGTGGTGAAAGCCGAAGACGATGCTGTTGCTGTACATCATCCTCGCAATATGCGCCATCGCGCGCACTCAGCAATTCCCCAACACTAGGTTTCCTCTCCCTTATCCTGCGCTCAGTCCAAGTTGCCGTGCAGCTTTGGACACAACTGTCGAGTGTGACGTGGCGCTCGATGACATGTTCACCAACAACGCAGCCACTTATCACGAAGATCTGCCACTCATATGCAGCGACATCTGCCTCGCGTCGCTTCGATCCGTCAAGCAGGCAATTCAGGCCGGCTGCAATTCGACTTCAGACGTGATCGAGGATGGCGGAGTCCTTTGGCCTGCTACCCGGTTTGTGGATGAGTACATCTTCACGCACGAGAAATTCTGCTTGAAAGACCCGTAAGTAAGGCTCTGCCATGTATTGAGCCAAGTGCTAACCAAAAATACAGAGAGTCCGACCGGTTCTGCGCCATTGTGGAAGCGGAGTGGAGAGACAAAGACCTCTGGACGACGGAGGAACAGTGCCACAACTGTACTCTGGCCGCCATGGAAATTGACTTGAAAGCGCCATTCCACTACTACGACGAAGAGGACGCGACCAGTTACGAACAGCGGAAAGCGGCTTGCAGCATTACTCAACCGCCGATTTTGCCTCCGCCGCCATACAGAATGGGTCAAATAGCGTTCGTGGATCATTCGAAGCCCATCGTTCAGAGCAAAGAGTGCGACGCCGCCTACACCGTACTCCCGGGAGAAACTTGCAACTCGATTGCGCTGGGAACCAACACATCTACACTGGCACTGATTCGGCTGAATGGTCTCGATGCATTTTGCTCAAGCTTGATGCCTGACATGAAGCTCTGTATTCCAGGGCAGTGCAAGACGCACGTGATCCTACGAAATGACACATGCGCGACCATTGCGAAGTCCCGAGCTGATGAAGGAGTGAAGCTCAGCTACACCGAGCTTCGTCTCTGGAATCCTAATATCAACTTTCCCTGCTCGAATTTGCGGCCGGAAGAAGTCATTTGCGTCTCGCCGCCGGAGGAGTCATCTACCGCCAATGCGGCTCACACAAAGTTGCTGGACCCGTTGAGAAAGGCTTCCAAGGTCGTCGACGGCGTCGAATGTCAGCTCAGTATCAAGTCGGATATCAGGCTGTCGTGCTTTTGGGTGGCCGAGCAATCGAAGATGACTGTTGATGATCTCATGAAGCTCAATCCTGGTATCGACAAATCGGTATGCACATCAGGAATAGAGGCCGATAGGACCATCTGCGTAGCCGGCAAGGTTCATCAAGCCGAGCCAATGGCCGAACTCAAGTTCAAAAGCAGTGGTTCTGACGATCAAGCTGGCAAAGTGCATCAGGCTGTATCGACAGGCGCCCCAATGCCTGAGATCAAATTCCTCAGCGAAGAGGAGTGGCCACAATGGTTCCGTGACTGGGATCCAGAAAAGGACCCGCTGCCGCTCGTGAAGCACAACGGCGGAGAAGGATCATAGAGTCCAACGCGTGCATCATGGATTGTGGGGGTTTCGACTTTCGGGTCGACAATACCCTGACCTGTATCATACATGTCGCGTGAAGGACCAGGAGACAGTAGCAGGATTACAATGTAAATAGCAATCCGTCAGGCACGTACGCTGAGTTTCCGGTAGTATATTCCGGGTCTGACTCTCCACGCACCAAGTTTCACCTCGGAGCATTACTGATCAGGCAGTCTTGCGCGCACATGATGGCAGTGACCATGACATTCGCGTGTTTGACATGCAGTATATGCCATCAGGTTCGGCTCTCTGGCATTATAGCAGGATCGATTGTGGTTGTATATTCCCGCAGTATTGTGAAAGTAGTAGCAAGGCCAGCAAACATCTGGCGCGCGTGCCGCGCGTTCAAATTCATCCTCTGCCCGCATCGCCGAACAAATCAACCCGAAACCACCACCACTGGACCGGCATCCTCTGTGCAGCCAAGTCCATGCCCTTCGATCGCGGTCTGACGAGCGCTGAGCAGATCCTGAGGGCGCTTGCGCATCACCTCGATGGCAAAGTCGGCTATGTCGTCTTTCGTGTCACATATGGCGACGACAAGAAGTGGGAGCAGTTCGTGGAGCGCTTGACAGGATACATGCACGCTGGCCTGGAGCACGAAACCAATCGAGAGGTGGCCGAGGCACTGAAAGCCGTGTTCGAGTTGGACATTCGCGACAACGAGACGGAGCTGAAGAATGCATCGAAGAGCGAGGTTCGAGCGTGTGTATGGGCAGACGTTGAGATCGCGAGGACAAGGCTGACAATAAACAGTATCTTTCGAGCCTGGGTCGCTAGTACCAATGGCATGTTCTCGATCACCAAATACGGCGCTTGCATCTATGCTGATGAAGAGGTCGTCGAGTCCGTACTGCAAGGTGAGGATCCTCGGGCTGGATTCTTCGACACTCCGTACCATGCATACGTTAAGATACTGGACTACCAGTTCGAGGACGAGCCGTATCAGTACGACTCAGAGGAAGAGCCTGACGAGCAGGTTCGAGCGTCGCTGAACGCAGGTGACGACGGCTGCGACCCAATCGAAGGCTGCAGAAGTTATGATGTGGGATGGGTGAAGGCGGCAGCTAGGATGTTGATGCCATGGGTTTACGCCATGCTGTCCAAAGGCGAGGGTTGGGACTGGGTCTATGTGCGGCCACCAGCGATCTCCAAGCTATAGGTGACCAGCTCTTCGACTAAACCCGGCACATCTTGTTCGTGCCAAATCTTCACCGCCGGGAAAGGACTATATGACAATGCCAGCATCGCCATGTCGCTCCCTCTGGATGGTTGTGGCAGCTTTTTCCATGCAGTACAGGGAGCCAGCGAAATGTCGATCAAAGTCCTTTTCCCTCCGCAGTGCTTGGGCTACCAGTTCCCGCACTTGTGAGGTTCTTCAACATGTCGCCTGCTTGTGAAGAGAAGCCCCAAGGAGATCATATGCAGTCGCGAGGCACATAAATATCTCACGGCCTCTCACGGTGTGCCTGAATCCCATCTACTCTTTCTCCTTTGTCTTGTGGGACGGGATCGTAATGGGCGGATGGGAGCGGGCGCGTTTGATGGCATCGCGTTCCTCTTCGGGGCTGAAGCGTGGGCCGTCGAGGCAAGTCTGCCGCTGCTATGTTGTGTCCAGCAGTTTCCTCCAAATTAAGGCGTCGCACATCATATTATACAATGGGCCTCTATCCTTCTCGTCTGCGTCAAGGCAGAGATGTCGTGCGACGAAGCAGGTGAAGTCAAGGTTCAAGCGCGCCAAGATTGTGAACACAACTTCGACCGCTTCTTTCGCCCTTCCTCTGCTCTTTCATCCTAATCTGCGCACAAAAGTGCTCGCTAATGATATTCCATCTCGAAAGTTCCCTTGTCATTGCACCGTCAGCATCTGGGCGGCTCTATCGCGACTCTTGAGCCTCAGCCGCGGCTTGCAGCAGGAGTTTTTCGAGCACCAGCGAATCGCCAGAAGTATCACAAGAACCAGACCGCTTGTGATTTGGATACAGCTAAGCACTCCTAAGTAAGATGAAGTCAAAATCTTGCTATCTCCACGGAGCCAGTGCAATGTAGGAAAGCACCCGGGCGGCTCCATCCAGCCCATGTTCAGTCCACTATGTACTGTCAGGACTCGCCGAGAGTAGCGATGAACCTCAACCAGCACAAGAAACAAGATATGGAAAATGTCTTGAAGAGCACAATGGTCAAATTACCCACGCTCCTCGCAAGTGAAAAGAGTGAGACGGAACAAGTTGTAGAGAAGCAATGACATTCAGTGCTAGATATCGCTACCTGCAAAGATCGCCCGTTCCCCAGATTTTCCGAAAAACACCTCTATCTCCCCAATGCAGCGACAGGAGACCAGCCCCGCGCTGCATTCAAATCAAAAACTCCAAAAGAAACACAACAGCATACATTCCCTCTCCATTCAGCGAACTCATATCTTCGTACAATTCATGTCCATTATCATCAAATCAATCGTTCTGCTCTTGCTTACTCCTCGTTGCCGAACAGGCTTGGGATGAGGGAAGCAGCCATGAGTGCCTTGCCCCAGAATGCCTCTGGGTCACGGGCCAAAAGGTCGCGCTTCTCCTCGCCGCCGAAGAGGCTTGGAAGAAGGGAGGCACCGATGAGCGCCTT